CCTTGCAAAAGCATCTGCCAACGCTGGGCGACACCACTTAGCCCCTGCGACGCGGAGGCGGGCGCCGCGTTCGGCACGACGCAATCTGCGCACCGAGTATTGCAAGCGACCCGTACGATTCCCTGCTTGGGTCGTCCGCGATGTTATCGTCTGCGCGCTTTGGCAAAAGAGACAGCCACGCACGCACCGCGGCGGCGGTCGCCGGCGGAACGCGGTCGATGTGCACGCTGACATGGAGGGCTGCCATGGCCAGCCAGAAGGTATGGACTAGCGAGGCGTGGTCCAGCTCGCGCGCCGTACCCTTTCGAAAGCCCCACTCCGCAACCGCGTTGTCGGAGAACACTCTGAGCGACCGGCCTTGGACGAGCCGGCCCCCGGTGCTCACCCCCAACGCAACTGCCAACATCTCCAGTCCAGCGATTATCGCCCCGCGCCTTGAACTGACGCATGACGTCGGCGTCTGGCGCGAAATCTGTGCACAGCCAGGAGCCGTCCGCGTACAATACGGCGGCTATTCGTGCAGGGCTCCCGCGCGCGTCCGCCCAGAGCAGCAGCGGGGGCGCAGGTGCGCGCGCCTCCCAGGCCGCGTGCTCGGCGACGCCGCGCTCGAGAACATCCAGCCACCACGTGAGGCTGAAGCGAGCGTCCGCCCGCAGAATCGGATTCCTTCTGTGGGAGTGATCCAGCAGAGGGCGAAGCGTCGCGCGCCCTATGCGCCGGAACATGTGGCTGGTGGCCCAGCTCAGAGCACCTGTGAGCTTCTTGGCAGCCCCCGCCGACAGCTGACCGGAGCGCAGCACCGCCCTGATCCGAGAGCACCACTTTGTTCTTTTGTCGTTGGACGGCCGGGCGGAGAAACCGACGCTGTCAATCTGCGAGGAGCCGCAGCGCCGGTCGCGCGCGCGCGTTGCCGGCAACGCTTCGGCGCGCGCGCTTACCTTGATACGTAACCCGAGAATGACGAGTGGATTCCCGTGCTCAACCTTTCTGGCTGATATGGCCGACGGGCCCATCAGGGCGCGTACTATTCGAACTGCGCATTCAAGGACACGCGCAGCCTGCACCCGATACGGCGCGCGCTCGCACAGAAGAACGACCAGGACGTCTGAAGGGCCTCACTTCCGCTGCCCCTGCCAATTCCGAATAAATCGTCGACGCATCGCAGAATCACCGCGCGCAACTCGCAGCGCAGGATGGTCGCGAGCAGGGAGCCGACGCGCCCCCATCCATGCACGCTTGCGACTGCGACCCACCGGGCGTGGGCACCCGCGCACGCGCGCGCACGCGCGCTCGCTCCGTTCCCGCACGCGCGGGACCTGCTCCGAGAGGGAGCGCGTTATGCATCGATGACATAATCTTGGATTCCAAGCGGTAAACCACGTATGCCAACGAGCGGTGACTGGCTTGAATCGGTATCCTTCGGAACGCGGAGTCGATGTCCGCGTTGAAGAAGCACCACCGCTCTGACGGCAGAGCCGCGTGCAGCGCCGCGCTGGCCTGCCGCAGCGCGTCCACCGTGTCATGACGATGTTTCTCTCCGGGCGCAGTGGCGCCGTTTAGCCCCGAGCAGTCGTCGATGGGTCGCATCTTAGGAGCGCCGTCCGCGCGGAACCCCTGTTCGACACTGAAGCGCGGCACAAGTACAGCGCCGGCGGTGTCAATCCGAGTGAGATCGACAGGTTCGGCCATCCTTCCTGATTCGGCGCCCGCGCAAGTGGCTTCGCGCAGGACTTCGGCGCGCGGGTCAGGCCGCAGCCGTTTCTTCAGAACCGATGAATTCTGCCGGGTAGCGGCGTCACGTAGAGCCTCCACGGGCACGCACGACGCCCTTTCAATCGCCTCCCCAAGGCCCGAGCGCGGTAGATGCCCCACCAGCGGGGCGCCGGAGCGAAAGAACTCTACCGCATCCAGATCGCAGTGGCCCGCGCGAGCGGCGAGCTCGGCGAGCAAGGGCCCGCTAACGCCCCGCGAGACGGCCTTGGTTGCCGGGTCCGCCGCGCCGAGCCACGCTCGGGTTCCGCCGGACGCGATGAGGGCGGCGGCCCGAGCCTCGATCCGGCTGGTGGCCTTTTCCCGGAAACGGCGGGCCTTCGACCCGGCGCACACGCGCGCGCGCGCCTGCCGCCGCGGCCGGACGCGCGCGCGCCTCCTTCGTGGACGTGGCCGCAGTCCACGCCACACCATCTTTGACGGCTTGCGGCAGCCGGTCAATGTCCGAGGCAGGAAAAGCAGACCCAACCGCGGCCCTGGCAACGTCGATCTTGCGCCTTTTCCCCGGAGGGGAACCGCAATCGGCCATCTTCGCTGAGGCCGCTCTCCGCGCGCCCCTCGTCTGCGCCGTGGCGGAAGAAAATACCGAGAACGCACGGGCGCGCACAAAGAGATGGAAGGTGGCGCTGCGCTCGCGCTTGCTTTGCAATCGCGCACGAATTGCCATATGGGGTGCGCCTCGAACGGCGCCGGCCGTCGCACGGGCCCCTCAGTTGGCGCCATCGCCGGGCCGCGCCCTCTTCTTCGGTGTCGCGGGCGCGGGCGCGGCGCCGCGCTTGCCACCCCTGGCGCAGTCTTTGCGGCCGTTGCCCTTGCCACTTTTTCCTTTGGCCGTGCCCTTCGCGCCCTTTCCGGAAGGAGGAGGAGGAGGAGGAGGACTCGCGGTACTGCTGCCAGACATTGCGCATATAACTGCTCCCAGTCGGCTTCTCGCCGCGCGTGGTGGCGTCAAGCTCTGTCTCTGCGAGCCTCAGGATAGCTGGGCCCAAGCTAGCGGCGGCGGTCTCGACGGAGAAACCGGGGACTCCTGCCGCCGATAATTCAGCCCAGTTGCGGGTGCAACGAACGCGGGGCGGCCAGCGCCGTCGCGAGCACCGGAGATAAAGGACGGGACGCGGGCCGACAGATTTTGCCAGAGACGACTCCCAATTGCGCGCGACGCCCCTGCACATGCGCATTGATGGCCACCTGCCGGACGCCAAGCGGAGGCGGACGCCAAGGGGGAAGCGGCGCGGCGATTCCCCAGCGAGCCAGGGGGGGAGAAGCGAGCACCTGCAGGACGTTCTGCTTACGCGCGAGCGCGGCGCCGAGTGACATCTGGGCCGTCGCAGCCCCAGCGACCAGATATTGGTCAAACGCGAGGTGCCACTCCAGCCAGCCGAACTCGCGCCCCCGCCACTCGCCGGCGTCGCCGCCCTTCAGGGCAACGCCCTGGGGCAGCCAGGTCCGTAAGTCGACGTATACGTAAGGATCGGTGTGACCGCGCTTTGTAAGCTTCGCGATCTCGGTCGCAAGTGCGTCAGTCTTGGCCGCGCGCGGCCACGCCCGCGGCGGTGGCCCCGCCAAATTCAGCCCGGCGAGCTCGGCGCCAATGTCCACGTGCTCATTGGGCTCGTTCGGCCCTTTGAGCGCTGCCGCCAAGGCGGCAAGAGTCTCCCCGCCTGTCGTAGCCTGGTCGGCGCGACCACGCCCCACTCCCGAGGGCTCCCACTTCTTCAACGCGAGGCGAACAGCACCCTGCAGAAAGTGCTGTTTGCCTGGCGTCAATTCCTTCATTTTACTCACATCGAGTGCGACGAGCGCCTCGCGCGACATCCGCAAGGGGTTCGCGGCGAACCGAAAGAGACAGCAGAGACGCCCGCGCGCGCGACCTGCGCGCGCCACGCGTCGCTCTTCTCGCATATCACGGCGACTTCTTCAACCCAAGCGCGTGGGTCGGGACAGTTCGGCAGCACGCCGGCATCGCGCAAGAAGCCACGCATATTCTCAACCGCCATGGCCAAGAGCGCTCGGCGAATCGCGGCGAGCGGCTGCGCGGCGACTCCTGCAGCGCTATGCGGAGCGGACGACCCTCGAAGAACCCCAAAGGGCCCGACCCTGAGCGCGGCACAACTGGCCGACCGAAGGGCCCACCAAGGACCAGGGCGCACATTGGCCCAGACGGCCCCAGGCAGAGCACGGCCTGAAAGGGCCGAGGGGCGAGCCCTCCGGGGGCCAGGGCACACCCGGGCCCAGCAAGCTCCACGGAAAGCGAAGCGCGACGGCCGCGCCGGGAGCCCGCGAAGGGCTCGCGCGCAGACTGGCCCACAGGGCTCCACGAAGAGCGCGGCACAAAGGCCGAAAAGTGGCACCGCCATGGACCGGGGCACGCGTTGATTCATCACAGCCCACGACGAGCAAGGCAGAGCCGGCCGAATGAGGGGCCCGCTAGGGACCAGGGCACGGGCTGGCCCAGTGTAGCTCCACGTAGAGCGTGGCCCAAATGGGACGATGATGAACCCACCATGGACCGGGGCACATTCTGGCCCAGCAGAGCTGAATGACGGTCCCGCTAGGGACCAGGGCACACACTGGCCCAGAGTAGCTCCACGAAGAGCGCGGCACTAACTGGCCGAAAGAGGGGCCCGCCAAGGACCAGGGCACAGGCTGGCCCGGAGTAGCGCCACGAAGAGCGCGGCATGAACCAGCCGACGGAGGGGCCCGCTAGGGACCAGGGCACAAACTGGCCCAGAGTAGCCCCACGAAGAGCGCGGCACCAACTGGCCGAACGAAGGGCCCGCAAGGGACCAGGGCACACACTGGCCCAGCGAAGCTCCACGTAGAGCGCGGCACATCCTGGCCGAAGGAAGGGCCCGCTAGGGACCAGGGCACACACTGGCCCAGTGTAGCTCCGCGCAGAGCGCGGCACAACCTGGCCGAAGAACGATTGGTCCGCCGAGGACCAGGGAGACAGAGCGGCTCGGGACAGGCCCGCCGGAGCCCGCGACGCTTTCCGACGCTGGAGCCGGACGAAGGCATTTGCGGCTCCAGCATCAGATATGCGACGCCCGTAAATGGCGTTGTAGCCCTCGGCGCCGGAGCCTCCCATCGCATTTGCGGCTCCAGCGCCGGCGCGCCGCGCCACGTGCGCGAGCGCAACTCCACGGAGAGCCGCAGCAGCGAGAGAATAATTTCGAGCCAGCAAAACCGACGAGGTGAGCACGTTGATGTAGTCCATGCAGAGATCACCTTCGCCTGGGGGGAAAGGAGCGGGGAAGGAACCTGCACGAGGAGGAGAGGGTGGCGAGCAAGACGGCGGCGCGCGCGGAAGGAGGAGCGGGGGGGGGAATCGGAACCTGCGCGAGAGGGAGGCGCGGCGCGGCGACCACCGGCGAAGGCGCGCGCGCGCGGAGCAAGCAAACGGAGGCGCGCGACGGACCGCCGGCGCACGCGCGCGAAACGCCGCCAGACCTGCCAGCGCGGCGCGCTGTCGCCGCCGCGCTTCTTCGCCGAAAATTTCAACACCTGCAACGCGGCGAAGCGGCGCGCGGGCAGGGTCGGGGCGCGCCGCGCCTGCGGCCCCCTCCTGCCGCGCGGTCGGGCGCAAGGCGCGCGCGGCTCCCAGCGCTGCGGCGCGCCTGGGGCCGCGGATAGCGCCTGGCGCTCGGCGTCGAGCCTGCGCGCCCGCTCTCGCGGATCGCACCCTGGGCTCGCCTGAGGCGACAGAGAGCGCGCGCGACCACAGCCGCGCGCGCTCGCGGACGCGGGCCTCCCCCCCCGATCGTGCCCCCGCACCCAATCTGCGCTTGTGCGGGCCACAACAAGGCAAGATCCTTTTTCTGGCCCTGGCGGGCCTCGGCCACGCATGGGCTACCCGACCCAGGGTGCAGAAGCAACGGCCCAAGAGCCACAGCCCCCCGCCCCCCAAGGCCCAGCGTCTTGAACGGCACGCCTCCCTCAGGAGAAGAAAAAACGTCACAAACATACACTTTTGGCGCTCCGCGCGGATTTTCTGGATCTGCGCTGGACCCCCTTTCCCTGGCGCGCCGAGCGCGCCAGAGAGGCGCCGCCAGAGGCGCCGTCGGGGGGGCACCCAGCGCGGATCCGAGAAATCCACGCGGAGCGCCGAAAGTTCATACTTACGGCGGTTCTTCGTAGTATAATTTCTTATCATTGTTATCAGTAGTAGTTTTAGTATGAGTAGTAATGATAGTATTCGCAGTATTATTACGACTGTCATTGTTATGATTACTCTGATTAAAATTAATATTATTATTGATGTTGGAATTATTCTCTTCATTCATATGAACATTACGAGCTGCCTTCTTTTTACTGCTATTATAATTCGTATTAACAAAATTCTTATTGGTATTAAAACTAATATCATCATCCTTCTTCAACTGAATACTATGATTATGATGTTTCATTATGATATTATTATTACTGTTGATATTACTTTTATTCAATCCCTGGCAGGCCAGGCCCCCCCAAAAAGGCGGCCTGTGCCCATGAAGAGGCACGCTGGCGCCCTCAGGTCCTCGGGCGGCGACGCCTGCACGGTCCGCACGACGGAGGACGCGGTCCTCGGGGGGCGGGAGGCGGGCGCCGCGGGCCCCGACGCCGCCCTGGCAGGCCGAGGGCCCTTGACGGGCGGGGGCCTCCTTCTCCTCCTCCTCGTAGCCCTCCTCCTCCTCCTCCTCCTGCGCACAACCTGAGGCGCCACAGAGTCTATGACACCACAGCCGCTCCTCCTCCTCTCCTCCTCCTCTCTCCTCTCCTCCTCCCCTCCTCCTCCTCCTCCTCCCCCTCCTCCTCTCTCCTCCTCCTCCTCCTCCTCCTCCTCCTCCTCCTCCTCCTCCTCCCCCTCCTTCTTCCTATTAGTTTTTTATCTTATTATCATTGTTCTCAATATTATAAAATTGGTTAGTATGATTGTTGTTCTTATTGGCTCTCGTTGGCGGCGAACAAAGGGGGGGGGGAACTGAGGAGCCGAACTTTGTAATCACACCGATGCTCTTTTTTCCAGTCCCGCACTGAGACTCGCACAAGAAAACGGATTTTCATGGCGAATGCGACATCCTGGTGTGTACGTGTTTTGTCTTTTCCACGGGAAACAAAGGGGAAACAGGTATACACAACACCACCCCGACGTCGTCCCCGACCCTACAAAAGTCCTGGGATTGGAAAAACAGCCCGCCACTGGCCATGTACATGCTCCAGTTTCCGAGGAATGAGAAGGAGAAGACCTTCTCCAAGGCGGCGGGACTTCTCAGAAGCCCTGGCGACTGCTGGGAGGTCTTCATGTGGCTTTGGGGAAAGCTTCGACAACTGTCCCGAAGGCCAGGGGGCTTCCATGCCTTCCGAGAAGGCCCGCCCCTTCTCACTTCCCCCCCTTCGCTCGCCGCCGATCTCGACGACGGGGATCCCGGGGCACTGCGGGCGCTGTCTCGAAACTGCCAGGGGCGGCCCTGGCCCAAAGTCAGGTCGGGCGAAAGGGGGGGATAGCAAAGGGGGGGGTTGAGAATCAGCTCGCGCAGCTGATTTCCTCGGCGCCTCCCGGCGCCGGAGGCGGCCATGTGTCGAGGGATGGGCCCCTCGGTGAGGCCGAAACCAGCGGCACGCAGCAAATTTCGTACCCCCCCCCTTTCCCAATTCCCCCCCCTTTCGCCCGGCCCGACAAAGGCGTGGCCCCAGCCCTGCCCCGGGCGGCCCGATGGGCTCTCGGCGACGGGGAGCTGGGGGCGCTGCCGGCGCTCCCGGAGCGCTGCCAGGGGCAGCCCTGGCCCGAGAGGCGGCCCCGGCGCTGCCCGGAGGGATCCTCCTCCTCCTCCTCCTCCTCCTCCTCCATCTTCCTCCTCCCCCTCCTCCTCCTCCTCCTCCTCCTCCTCCTCCTCCTCCTCCTCCTCCTCCTCCTTCTGCGGGCGGCTCCCAGGAGGCCCGGAGGGCCCCCAGAGGCTCCAGAGTGCAGCAGGAGCTCGGCCACGGGAAGCCTTCCACGAGAGACCCCGCCCCGCGACCCCAGGACGCCCGTTGGCCTTTGGCGTGGGGACGTCGCGCTCTCCATGGCAAAGCCATCGACACCCACGAAACCCAGGGCACCCTGGAGGCAAGCAGGGCGCTTCTTGGCATGGGCCTCCACTGTGCCGCGAGAAAATGAAGGGGCCCTGGGACACACAAATAAATACACACAAATAACAGGATCCCCCATAGTTCCCCATATTGTCTGAGTCTTTGCCTTCCCCTCCACTTCACATATTTTCCTACATTTTCCTGGGGATCGACGATTTATTGTGTCTGTGTGTTTTTTCCCCTCCGTCTTCGGCACCGCCTGATTCCGGGGATTTGCCGCCCCCCTGGCCTTGACGTGAGGCCCCTCCTTCTGCCCCCCCCCCTTGTGAATGAAAGCTGTGCGCGGCCCGCTTAGCTTCGACTGGAAGAGGTGCGCTCTCGACCCGCGGATCAAAACAGTGTTTTTGTTCCCCTCCTGAGTGGAAAAGCGGGAAACGCCGCGGGCCAGGGCCGCCCCCGGAGAGACACCCGGCGCGCCCCAGTCCTCCGGCGGAGCACCGCGTGGGCGCCCCTCCCAAGAGAGGGACCTCCAGGGGGATCCTCCGGCCTCCGCAGGAGCTCCGGAGGACTCTGGAGGGCGGGACGGGGCGGGGGGCAGGCGCGAGGGAGGAGGACGACGGCGAGCAGGGGCAGGAGGAATGGACAAAGACAGGGGCAGGGACATAGAGGTCAATGGATGACTATGACGATGGCGACGTCAATGATCATGCTTGTGATGGTGATGGTGATGCTGTTGATCATGACGCTGATGATGGTCGAGACAAAGAATGGGGAGCGGCCAAGAGGGGGGTGTCCAAGAGGGGGGGGTGCAAATCATGACCGGCGGCATGTGCGCGGCCCAGCGGGGGGGCCAGGGACGTAATGAAATAAGAAGAGACGCCATGAAATCTGGGGAAATATCATGGCCCCCGCCATGATATCCACCCCCCCCCTAGTCATCACCCCCCTCTTTTCCGCCCCCGAAAGAAAGGAGGGCCGAGACGGAGGCTGAGACATGCAGGGGCGCCGGAAGAGAGGGGCGAGCGCCAGGACAGAGGCCAGAGCACGGGAGAGGAGCGCGATCGAGGTAGGCAGAGGCAGCCACCGAGGCGGGTGCGGAGGCAGGCGCCGAGGCAGAGGCGAGAACACAGACAGAAACAGAAAGGGGGGGGGGGGGGGCAGACACGAGAGAACACAACAGATGAAGCAGCCTCAACATGCGGCTGAGTTGGGCGCACATATGCCACCTGGTGGAAATTCCACATCGTTGCTTCAACTGGGTGGAATCCGAGGCGAAAGACTGGTGATGTCTCTTGGCTGCCACCACGGAAAACAACGGCTGGCACTCACCTACCGCGATCCCACGACTGCCAGCAGTCTCCGAGATAGAAGATGATACAGAGGAGGTGCTAACGATAGTCGGGGGGCACCGATAAGGGATCCTTTCCCCAGGGCCAGCGCTCGTTCCAGATCGGGAGATCCTGGTGCCATCCTGGCTGGCTGTTCGAGCTGCACCCAGCCGTGGCAACGAGCCACAGCCCGGCGGGAAGCACAAAGGTCCCCCGCCGTCTCCCTCCTGTCTTCCCGCCATCCCCCCCCCCCCGCACACGCCTCGTTCACTCCTGACCCACCACGCCCTCCCCCTCCTCCCTATCCCCTCCGTCCCTGACCTTCCCCTCCAGAAGCGAAAAGATGCTGATCAGCCTACGCGTTTGTCGTGCCGCCTGCGGAAGCGAGGCCGCCCTGACCCCAAACAAGACCGAGGAAGAAGGAAGGCGAGGGCGAGGCGCCGTCAGACGTCCTGAGGCAGGGCAGCCCCGTCAGAGCACGACGGACAGGCGGGAGCCTGGGATGCACTCTGGTCCCGTGCGGGAGGGAGAGGTACGTTGGGTGCGCTTGCGTCACATCTGACACCCTACCACCCCCGTGCATACCTTCCCGCTGCACTGCCCTCTTCTCTAAAAAATGCCGACTGGGGTATGCTGGAGGGCCTTGATCCCCGGACTGCATCTACAGGAGTTGACCATGTGCACATTGGAGGGGCAAGGGGAGCGTTGCACACTGGAGGGAAGAGGAGGAGGAGGAGGAGGAGGAGGAGGAGGAGGAGGAGGAGGGGGAGGAGGAGGCGGGAGGAGGGAGGAGGAGAAGGAGGAGGAGGAGAAGGAGGAGAAGGAGGAGGAGGAGGAGGAGGGGGAAGGGAGCCGGGAGGGGGCGGGGGGGTACGCGGTGGGCAAGCTGGGTGCGCTTGCGCCATGTCTGACATCCTGTCCCTCCCCCCTATCCCTTCCCATAGCGTTGATTTATTCCCTCGCCGCGGACGCGTGTCATTGCCGCCCTGGAGTTCCTCTTCCTCCTCCTCCTCCTCCTCCTCCTCCTCCTCCTCCCCTCCTCCTCCTCCTCCTCCTCCTCCTCCTCCTCCTCCTCCTCCTCCTCCTCCTCCCCCCTCCTCCCCAGACGCCCTCGTACCGCAACAGAAGTACCCCAGCAGAGCACCTCCCCAGCGCTTGCATCCCAGGCCTGCCGCCGCGCGCCACCCGCCGCGCCACGGGCCGCGGGCTCCTGCGGCCAGCGCACAGTGTGGGCAGCGGCTGCGGGGCGGCCCCCTGCGCGCCGCGGTCGCGCGCGGCAGCGTCCGCCGCCGCCGGACCTTCCGAGGGCGGGGGGGGAACTCCTCGCACCTGCCTCCTCCTGCATCCTTCCCTCCATCATCCAATCCTTCCTCCCTCCTCCCTTCTCCCTCCTCCTCCCTCGCACGGGGGGGGACCCCGCCTCGCGCCTGCCTCCTCCTGCATCCTTCCCTCCACCATCCCCTCCTCCCTCCCTCCTCCCTTCTCCCTCCTCCTCCCTCGCAGAAGGGGGGCCCTCCCGCCTGCCTCCTCCTGCTTCCGTCCCTCCATCATCACATGATCCCTCCTCCCTTCTCCTTCCTCCTCCCTCGCAGGGGGAGGCCCTCCTCGCGCCTGCCTCCTCCTGCATCCCTCCCGCCATCTTCCCCTCCGCCCTCCTCCTCCCTTATCCCTCCTCCTCCCTCGCAGAAGGGGCCCCCCCTCCCGCCTGCCTCCTCCTGCATCCTTCCCTCCAACATCCCCTCCTCCCTCCTCCCTTCTCTCTCCTCCTCCCTCGCAAGGGGAGGCTCCTCCCGCCTGCCTCCTCCTGCATCCGTCCCTCCATCATCACCTCCTCCATCCGCATCCCTTCTCCCCCCCTCCTCCCTCGCAAGCGGGGGGTCTCCTCCCGCCTGCCTCCTCCTGCTTCCGTCCCTCAAGAAAACCCCTCCTCCTCCTCCTCCTCCTCCTCCTCCTCTTCCTCCTCCTCCTCCGCCTCCTCCTCCTCCTCCCCTCCTCCTCCTCCTCCTCCTCCTCCTCTCCTCCTCCACCTCCTCCTCCTCCCTCCTCCTCCTCCTCTCCTCCTCCTCCTCCTCCTCCTCCTCCTCCTCCTCCTCCTCCTCCTCCTCCTCCTCCTCCTCCTCCTCCTCCTCCTCCTCCTCCTCCTCCTCCTCCTCCTCCTCCTTCTCCCTCCTCCCTTCTCCCTTCTCCCTTCTCCCTTCTCCCTCCTCCTCCTCCTCCCTCGCAGGATGGGGTCCTCCTCCCGCCTGCCTCCTCCTGCATCCGTCCCTCCATCATCCCCTTCTTTCTCCTCCTCCCTCGCAGGGTGAAGGGAGGGGGCCTGGGCGACCTTTGGCCGACCTGCAGGGCGGGATGTAATCACTGGCCTGACTGATTCTAACCGCGAGACTCCGCCCTGGCGGCACCCCCCCCCGAAGGGGGACGGGAAGGGGGGGGCCAGACGGCGCTGCGGGGCACGACGCTTCCGCTGCGGGGCACGACGCTTCCGACTGCCAAAGTTGATCCGCTCCTTCTCCATCGCCCCACTCCGCCTCCATCGTGGTCCCCGCCTCCTCGCGCAGCCTTCTCCAGACACAAGCGGAGAGTCAAGCGCACAACCTGCCCGAGAGCACAGTCGGGACGCAGGAGGAGAGGAAGTTCGACACGGCAAGCCCACACATGTGCACGTTCGGACCGCGAGAAATCACGGTTGCGGTCTCTGGAGGCGAGAGACACGCTGTGTTCCGCCATGCTCGGGTCCACGCGAAATCAGCCCTCGGATGCCTCCCGAGCACTGTCTGGACCAGCTTGGCGAGCCCACGTCCGACCCTGGCGACGAGGGCCATCGCCGAGGGCCCTCCCAAAACAAATAGCGCAAGCGCCTGCACGTGTACGCATCCCCGCCCCAGCAGGAGGCGACCTCTGCTCGACTGCGGTGACAGCGCAGACGCCATCTGGGCAGGGTGGTGGACCACGCCGTCCACTTTCGGGCTCTGGGCGCCGTCATGTTTATCAACTAGAGAGGCTCGAACGAGGAAGGCGGCACAGCGCAGAGGCGCTCAGATGCAAGACTTCGAGCGAGGGGAGGAGATGATCACATCCCAAGAACGAGGGACCTGACGCTAGCGGCCGGGGGAGTGAATCGCTGGCGCCGTGCTCTACTCATAGCACACGGTCACGCGTGCGTCTACCTGGCCCTCTGGAGGATGGCAATACCAAAGAAAACAAAGAACAGTGCCCGCAATATCTCTCCTTTCCACGCCATTCGCCCCGCCACTACGACGCATCCCCGAGACCATGTACGTATGGCCAGGCCTGACCCCTTCTTCTGACTGGTTGAAAAGCTCCAGCGTTCTTGCAGATAAGAGGGTAAAGATGGTTGTGAACAAAAAACAACACACACACACCAACAAAAACATACACGTCTACTAATGCGTCCGCGGCTGTCCGCGAGGTGCGACAAGGTACGGAGATGTGGCGCCGTCCAGAGCGCACCTGGTCCGAGAACAGAAATGGGCGCCACATAGGATGTTGTTTGATGGGGGTCTACTACTTTTCTTGATAGAGGGCCCGCCTCCGCACTTGCAGCGGTAGGCGTGCGTCAGGCCTCTTGCGGGGTATCAACCTCAGCTGGCCTCTACTGACCTCTACTGATATTTGACCTCACTCTCTGCTGACCTCTTCATTTAAGTCTGGCCTGTCCCCTTACAGGGGGGATTTGCGACGACAAATAAAAAATACTCAAAAAAAACAGAATGGCAATGTTTTGACTATTTTTGGTTATTCCCCCTGTAGAGGGACAGGCCCGACTTAAATCTACATCTACGGCGTCGGGCCTCTGACCTCAACGAAGAAATCGGCCGCCACGCCCTCTGGGACGTAACGGGGCGCCCTCAGGCACCTGATGGTCCTTAGAACACTGCTATGGGAGTCTAAGGGCTGCGGGCGCTGGCTTTCTTGGTGCTGCTCCTGCGGGCTCCCACGGACTCTTGAGGATTGCGGGCTCCAGGGCAGAGGTGCCGCGTGACCTTTATCGAGGCCTCAAAGTTGTGGTTGGGATTCCGAGCCTCCAGCACGCCCCAAGATGGTCACAAGGCAACGCATTTGGGTAGCTTTTGGGATCTCTTGGGCCGTCTTGGGAGCTCTGGGGGCTGTCTCAAAGGGCCAACGTATTTCAAAAACTGTGGAGAATTGCGACATGATCTCAACATTACCACATGGTAGGCCTCAGGAACGTCCAAGACGCACCAAGAGCAGTAGGAACCAGGAGGGCTCCAAGACGGCCCCCGAGGCCCCCAAGAGGGCATCAGGAGGCCCCCAAGACAGGCCCAACAAGGGCCTGAAAGGAGGATCACAAACGAATGCCAGGAACATGGATGGGAGTCCAACATCTGCGTTCCCATGATGGCCCCCAAGACGCCCAACAGAGAGGCTCTCATTTATTTTGGCCCCAGAGAGAACACCCGCGAGCCCCCTAGACGCCCCCTACAGGGCTTCCTAGAGGCCCCGACCCAGCCCCGAAGAGTCACATCCCGGGAAGCCGCAGCACTCCCAGCCGCTCCCTGAGGAGCCTTCCGTACGGACTCTCTAGAAGCACGGCGGGTCACAGCGCGCCTTGAACCACAGCCAGGCACGATGGCGGGATGGGCTGAAGGCTCCTCCGGTCCGGCTCCCCCAGACACTCCCCAAGCCCGTCGGCCCGTGCCGCGGAACCGCCCGCTCATCGCCAAGATCGCTCAGAAGACTCGGTGCCGCTGCACTCTTCTCTCAGGCTGTCGCGACGGGGCCCGAGGCTCCCTGCCCAGTCGCCCACGGAGGGAGCACAGAGGCACAGGTCTGGCCCCTCACCCCTGTCCCGAACCTCCAGGGGCCCACCACGGGCCGCGCCGATGGCAGCGGGTCTATGCTGGGTGCATCCCGTCCCACTCACCGGCCAGAGCGGTTTCTCAAGCTGGCCTGCGGTGCAGCAACCACCACCGCGGACGGCGAGTGCGCCTGGACAGCCTGATGGCGCGCCGAGTAAGGACAACGGGGAGGGCGCAGCAGGTGAGTTTCGAGGAAGGGCGGCGGGGAAGAGAGGGAAAGGCAAGAGGATCGAAAGGGCAACGACGCCCAAGTGAAACAAACCCGAAGAGTTGGCTGAAATGCCGTGGCCATACCTGGAAAGATCGCTTCGTGCCCTGCATGACATTCAACTTGAAGCGCAGGCCAAATCCACCACCGTGCCGCTGGGCACGGAGTGGGCGTGTCCTCGGGTCCTCTGCATGATCCTGCAAGCATCAGTCCTCACTCCCGAGGAGTCCTTACAAAGCCCAGTCCCCGAATCCCTGGATCCCTTGGGGCTCCCCGCGTGCCCCGTGGGCTCCCCCGCGTCTTCTCGCGTGACTCTTGGGAGCCCAAGAGAGCCCCAAGACGGGCCCGAAGGGGGCCCCAAGACGGCCCACGAGGGCCCGGAGACGGCCGAAGATGGCACCAAAATGCCCAAGATGGCCCCAAGACGGCCCAAGCAGCCTCCAAGACGGCCCAAGAGGCCTCCCAAGAAGGCCCGAAGAGGCCAAAATAATTGCTTCTTTTAAACCTCTCGGCGGCGAGTGACTTCTGTTGCGAGACGGGTCCTGAGATTACACCACTGACGCGAAAGAAGAGAGCGTGCTCAACTGTGGGCCGCTCGCAGTCGAAATTCGATCAGCTGACGTCTGCACCGATCAATCAGGGCGGTGTGGGAGGGAGCTTAAGATCACAACAGTTGCGGAGACCGCAAGATGAGAAACGACAGGCCGAGGTGATCGAAGGGATACCATGGTCCCCACAAACATGCTTGATTAAAAACTCTCGGCGGCGAGTGCCTTCTGTTGCGAGACGGGCCCTGAGATTACACCACTGACGCGGAAGACGAGAGCGTGCTCAACTGTGGGGCCGCTCGCAGTCGAAATTCGATCAGCTGACGTCTGCATCTATCCCAAAACGAATTAGGTCCGAAGACCGAAGTTCACAGCCACTGGGGACGAGTTGCCGTCAGGCGGACGTTATATCGAACTTTAGGCGAGGGTCCTGAGCACAAACGGTCGAAACAGCCACATCGAACGTCGTTCGATCCAAACGGGCGACAGCAGGGCTCGAGCTAGAAGTGTTGCCAGCTTACGGGGATAGGCCGCGGCTTCGCGCGCGCTTCGTTCTTCTAAACCTATATGTTTCTTCACCGGGAAGGAACAAGAACCGCGCTTCCCTGCACAGGTTACGGCTCCCGGGTGCCCCAAGAGACCCCAATCTAAATCGCTCCCGCCGAAGACCAGTCTAATAGCCTTCCTGTGGGGCGCCCCGAGAGCACAGTGAGTGACTAAGGACGCCCGCGCGGCCAAGGAACAAGGCCAAAACAAGATCGCGCCACATGTAACTGCTATGCGGGTGCTCTAGACACAACGAAACCCGCAGACGACAACGCAATCGGATCACTCGAATGCACAAATCCACACAGGCATTTCCAAGGGCGACTTTCTCGCGCTGAGGTTCAGGCAGCCCTGGGAGTCCTCTATGAAAAAAATGTGTTCCTTCGGGGGACGCTCATATTCTGAACCACCGAGAAAGAGGCGCAAGGCAGAGCCACCCAATGATCGCCAGCACGTCCCCGTTCCGCAGGCAGCGACGGATCTCCGCCTCCACGCAGGGCCGCAGCAGGTCGCCACAAATGTCCCACTCCCGCGAGCTGTAGCCCGCGCGCCTCGCCGCCGCCGCCACTCGCCCACTCCCGCTCAACAGCTCCGCGAGGAAGGGCGCCACGGGCGGAGCGCTGACGTCGGCCAACGGCGCCCGCGCACGAGGCGCTCCTCGAGCTGGCGCCCGCAGTCGAGGGCGCGGGCCTGCTGCGCGAGAGGCAACTCGCGCCACGCGTCGCTCAGGCGGCCAGCCCTCTCGCACCGCGCCACGCTCTTGGCGGCTCTTCATCTCCCCCGCTTCATGCACTCGTCTAGGCAGCCCCGATGAGCCCTGTCGGTCGCGATCCCGCCGAGGCGGCCCTGGCATGGCACCATCTTGTATCCCAGAGCCGCCGTCGCCTGCTCGAACATCTGATAGGATAGACCGCGGCCCCATGGAAGCGCATTCTCATCCTCGGGGCCGCGCACCAGGCGGCTCAGCATGCACCCCATCCAGGGCGTCCGGGCAGAGCCCATCACCACCTGTCGCCCGCCTCGCCTGTCCTGCTGCGCGTCGGGCCCCGCCCGCTCGGGAACATCACGGCGGCCAGCATGCCTTCCCCGAGCCAGGCGCGTCGGCCGACGCTGAACTCTGCCTTCGCCCACTTCGCGATGCAGTCGTCGACCTCGGCACCCTCTCTGAAGGGCGCGTTGGTCCGCGGCCGCGATCAGCTCGTCCACGCGCATCTGGCACCGAGCGCGGGTCGATGCCCTCACGCTGTAGGCCTCCAAGAAAATCTGACCTGGCGGCAGCCACCCACACGTCACGCGGCGCGCTCGCGCGGTCCGAGGGGCCCCACCCATGAGTGAACCTGGGCCCGCGCCCGAAGGAATAGGCAGCCGCACGCCGAATCATCGCCAGCAGCTTGAAGTCCCGCGCCCGCGACCGCGAGAAGGCGAGGATCACTGACATGTTGTCCCCCAGCAGAAGGACTCGGCCGCCATGTCCAGCGCGAGAGCTAGCCACGCGCTCCACGGCCTCGATCAGCGCTCGACCTTCGAGATAGATGGAGGACCCCCTCCTCGAAGGCCCACCGATCTGCCAAGACCGTCCGCCAGCGCCCAGCATGTAGCAGCTCCGCCGGCACCCCCTCGAAGTCGGGGCCCTGACTCCAGCGCGCCACCTCCGCGCCCAGGATCGCAGGCATCGCCTCTCGGGCGCCAACGCCGCCATCCGCCAGAAGCTCCAGGCCGGCCGCCTTGACAGCGCGCCGCCGCGCGGCGCCCGCGCCCAGACGTTAGCGGGCGCGCTCGCAGGTGCGACCTACGCGCCCAACGTCCTCTGGCCCCCACAGCGAGTAGGCCGGCCCGAAGCCGTCGAGCGACGCGTCCGACTGGCAGGCCCCAGGCAGCCAACCAGCGACCCAGTCCGCGCGCAGGTATATCATCAGCCCAGAGAAGGCCCGCAGCTCCTGCACCACGCTGTCCCACAGCGCAACCCGCTCGAAGTAGTGGCGCTGAATGAACCGGTAGATGCAGCGGAAGCAGCTCAGGCTCTCGCGGCGCACCAGGCCCACGAAGGCAAGGTGGCCCACGACGATTTCCAGCTCCAGGCCACTCACCCTGCGGCGTCGCAACAGCGCCTGCACCGCGCCTCGAACTCGCCAGAACCTGGCGGGAGCAGGCCGAGCGCAGCCTGCGCGCCCGCCCAGATGCACGCCCAAGGCCTCGCCGCCTGCGCTGCTCAAGGAGGTCTCGTGCACCTCGAGGCCGACGGCGCCACGGGACTTCGCGGCCGCCGTCATGGCCGCGCGAACCTGGCTCTCCGCCCCGCCGAACACCCAGAATGTCAACGTAAGTGCCGCGGCCCCAGGCCCGCGGGCCGCCCAGGATCAGCGGGGGCCCGCGGTCGGTCATCTCCTGCGCGCCTTCCGGCTCGCGCAGCTTCGCCATGCGGCGCGCGCTGGCCGACTGGGCGAAGCGCAGCGACCAGGCCCGCCCCATCGGCAACGCGCGCGCCAGGGGGAAAATCAGCGCGCCCTTGCCTAGCACCGCGCCGCCCAGCTGCGTCAGACCCAGCTCGCAGGCCCACAGCGGGGGGCAGCCGAAGAACTCCTGCAGCCCAGGCCCGTCGTCGAGCAGGAGCCCGCGCAAGCAGTCCTTCACGTCACTTACGCCGAGCCAGGTGTCCAGGCCGCCCAGGGCGTCGCCCAGCTCCTCGCCTAGGCGCCTCACCCCCGGCCCCGCGCCCACGCGGCCTCACGCGGCCCCCGGCTGGGGGGCTGGGGGGCGGCCTCACGCGGGCACGGCGGCACCCGCTGCGTCGCCGAGCTTCGTCCTGCCTCGCCCACGCCCTCGACCGCCGCCGCTGCCTCTGCCGCCGCCATCCCCGGCGCCCGCGCAGGGGGGCCGCCCAGCATCCAGCGCGCCAGCCACATCGCCACTGCCCCCCGCGCCGCGCCCGCCCGCTGCCAGCGCACGGCCGCGCCCGAGCGCCACCAGGCGGTCCGCTTCGTCGCGGGCCGCGCGGTTCGCCAAGCTCCGCAGCTCGGGCGACGCCACGTCGAAGGGGCCGCCGGTGCCCGTGAGGACGCGCCCCGCCCCCCAAGCAGCCGGCTGCCCAGGCGCGACCCGATGCGCCTTGGTGATCTGCGCCACGCGCCGAGCCGCGACCTCCAGGCACGCCAGCCCGCCAAGGTTCACCGCGACGAAGGTCCCCGCCAGCCAGGAGATGGTGACCAAGCAGTTCAGCTCGCGCCACGTGCGGTCTCGCTGGCTGATGCCGTACTCCCGGCAGAAATTGGACATCCACGTCTTAGGATCTCCCCCGCGCTGCGTGAACCGCCGGCAAAAGTGAAGCGCCGTGCCAGCCCCTCGAAGCTCGCAGCCGTCCAGAGCCCCCTCACAGCTCTCTCCTACAGCACGGCGCCGCCCCTTGAATCTCGCCCCCTGCTCGTTCCACTCCACTGCGAGCGTTCGGACGTCCTCGCGACTGGCGGCCTCGCCGCCCTCGCGAGGAGTGTCAGCGCCTCTTACGGCGGTGGGCTCCGCGCGGGTCATGTCGCGGAGGTCGAGGGGGGCCTCGGCGGCGGGCGGCGATGCATCGGCCAGAGCCACCCGCTCAGCTACCCAGCCAGCGCCGGCAAGCGCCTCGGCGCGCCAGGTGGCCACGTCGCCGATCGAGACCCGCTCGCACAGCACGGGGCGCCCATCGGGGCGGCTGCCGATCACCTTCGACCCTACCGCGACGTCGCCAGAGGTCGGCGCAACCTCATCGCCGAGCTGCAGACCGCCTCCCGCGCGCAGCTCCGCCACCAGCAGCACCATCTCGGCGTCCTCCAGCGGGGGCGGGCCCAAGGCCGGGCGCGTCGCCTCCTCGTCGCCGGGAGCCTCGGGGGCCCGCGGGGCGCTCGTGAGATCACGCTTGCCCCTGAGCCGCCGCCGCGCGCCTTCGAGCACCCCGATGTCCAGGCCGCGCTCGTCACCGTGCCAGCCCACCATCATGCTCGACTCCTCCCCGAGGTGGGCGCCCAGCCCCGCGGGCAAGCGGCGCCTGCGGCGCTCCTCGCGCTCGAGCTCACGGCCCCCCAACACCATCTGGCGGAGCACCTCGCGCGAGAGCCCCCCTTGGAACCTGACGACGTCGCCGCGGAAACCCTCGGGCCACCCGTGAAGCAGCGAGGCGTGCCAGCGCCAGTCCGCCTTCCGCTCCACGTAGCGGTCACCGTCGGGCCTCCACCACGCAGCACTCGTGGCGCCGGTCCCGGTGGACGGGCCAGAGCAGGAGCCGCTCGTGCGCCCACTCATCGCAATCGAACCAAACCAGCAGGCGCGATCCTGGGCGGCGCTCCTCGCAGGTCGACGTGTTCACGGGCGGCCACCGGCAGAGGAGATGCCGAGGCAGCCGCGCTCCAGCGTCCAGCCGGGATCGCTCACAGCACCAGCGCCAGCAGGCGCGGCCACGCCAGGGGAGCCCCCTCCTGCGGCGCTGCCGCCACGGCCCAGGCGGGCAGCCCCGCCTCCAAGCCTGCCGGGCCAGGGCAGGGCAGCGGCGGCGGAGGGCCCGGGCTGGCTGGACAGGGCGGAAGGCGGCAGTCGGGACACGGCGCGCGCGCCTGCCCCGAGAGCCACTCGTGCCGCCTCCGCCACCGCCCTGCGCGCCAGCTCGCGCAGCACGCCGGGCCCAGCCTCCGCCAGGGCCGCGCAGAGGCCCGCCACCACCATCTGGCAGCGGGCCCTCAGCGCGCTGAGGTTTGAGACCACAACAGTTGCGGAGACCGCAAAATGAGAAACGACAGGCCGAGGCAATCGCAGCAATACTGTGGTCCCCACAAACATCCATTCGTTGTTGATTCAATGATTTGGGAATCCTCGACTTTTCGAGCTTCCGACGCTCCACGACGGCCCACGACACCCCCAAAACAGCCCAGGAGGTCCCAAGGCGGCCCACGAGGCGCCCAAGACGGCTCAAGAGGACCCCAAGCCCCAAGACGGCCCCAAGAGGGGCCCAAGAGGGGGAGCACGAACCGAAAATCCGAACCTTCCGCCCCAAGATGCGCCGAGGACAGCCCCAAGAAGCCCCCAAGAGGCCCCAGGAGACCCCCAAGAGACCCCCACAAAGCCCCAAGAGGCTCCAAAACATCCCCCCAGATGCCTCACAACTGCCTCCAAGAGGTCCTCGAAGCGGCCTCGACGAGATCCCAACGACCATCCAAGAGGCCTCAGACGCACAACCCAGGCACGGTGGCGGGATGGGCCGAAGCCCATTAGATGAGGTAGTCCCCGCTGACGCGATCCAGTTTCCTGGGCCGAGCCTGCTCATGCATGAAGATCGTGAAGAGGAGCGCGGCGCCCCTAAAACGTCGGCGTCAGGGGTGCGGGAAGGGATGGAACTGGACACGGGACCCTGCCGGAATGACTCTACAAAGGAGAATGGGCCCTGCCCAAGGAGGAGAAGGAGGAGGCCTCGCTTTAATTGTTCTCTCTATTTGTTTCTCTCTCTCTCTCTCTCTCTCTCCTTGTTTTTGTTCTCTCTCTCTCTCTCTCTCGTCGTGCTCCTCATGCTCCTCATGCGTCTTTGGTGCCACGATCCGCGCCGCCAGCTCCCAGCCCCTGGCTGATTGAGATGTTTCTTCCGTGGGCCCCAGAGCTCTCGAGCTCTCCCCCCGGTCGGCAGCCTTCCAGCCTCGAGCCAGAGTCCCACCAGCCCCTCTGGGGCTGAGTGGTTTGCCGAGTTGCTCTCAGCTCCCTGCCACAACCCTCCTTCCCCTGCTCGGGGGAGGGGTTTGCCCCTCCCCCCTGCCCCCTCCCCTGGGCCTGGGAGGGGGGGACGGAGCCGTCAGAGCGCCCAAGATGGCCCCAGATGGCTCCAAGAGGGCCCAAGACAGCCCAAGAGGGTCTCCAAGATGGCTCAAGATACTTCAACGTCGCTCAAGATAGCCTCCCACAAGCCTCCAAGACGTCCCAAGACAGCCCCAAGAGGGTTCCAAGTGCCACTCCCGCCCCCCAAGGAACCTCCCAAGAGGCCAAAATCCAGTCAAAAACCGTTGGAACATCAAGGTTGTTTGGCTTTTCGATGTATCGCTTCCGATGAGCTTATTGGGCCTTATGCTGGCTCCAGAATAGCCCAAGAGAGGCCCAGGAGGGGCCCAAGACGGAACCAAGACAGCCCCAAGAGCGCCCAAGAAGCACCAAAGAGCGGCCAGGGACCTAAATTGATTCCCACATCTTCTTCGATCGATCTCCTCCACGATGGCCCCAAGAGAGCCCAAAGGGACGCCCAGCACACACAGGGAGGCGCCTAGCACCACCAGGGAGGCGCCCAAGAGGCCCCCACGAGGGCCCCACGAGAGACCATGTAGGCTCCAAGGGGCTCCTCCGAAGAATAACAGACGCTCCAAAAGGCCCCAAGGATCACAAAGGCCGTACACACGTAGCCCCAAACAGAGCCCCAAGAAAGCCCCCCCAGAGCCAAAACGGCGCGAGGCAGACCTGTTCGCCTAGGCATCACTGCTGGATGGGTTGCTGTTTTTCTAAACACACTCGGAAAGCATTCGCAGCATTGTGGGACCCCGCATCGTGGCCGCCCCCCGATCACATAATCGTGGCAGGTCGACATATCTCGAATCATGCAACAAATGTCGCCGCCCTCCCCGCACCCCCGACAACGGCATTCAAGGTGTCTATTGCACTGTATGCTTTTACATCGCCTACATGAAGCCAAGAATCATGACGTGTGTTCTGGATGGGCTAGTGGGGAGACGCGAAGCGTCACAATACTATTGTCCCAAAGCTCGAAAATTGTTCCTGGAGGCCGACAAGAAAACAACCGTTGTTATAATGTGCTGGTAGCGCAAAAAAAAACAAGCAAACCGGAAAAATAAGATTAATAACAATAGTGCTAGTATTAGTATTAATACGAATTGTAATGATAAGCATAACAACGATAATACTAATAATACTACGAATAAACAAAGCAATAATTTGATAACAAGAATATAATAATGATCATAACAAATAATCATACTAATACTTATTAACGTCCGAATAATGATACTAATGGCTATTGTTATTATTATTATTATTAGTAGTAGTAGTAGTAGCAGCAGCAGCAGCAGCAGCAGTAGTAGTAGTAGTAGTAGTAGTAGCAGTAGTAGTAGTAGTAGCAGTAGTAGTAGTAGCAGTAGTAGTAGTAGTAGTAGCAGTAGTAGTAGTAGTAGTAGTAGTAGTAGTAGTAGTAGCAGTTCTTATTCTGATACTACTCATAATACTGATAATAAGAATGAGAACTACAGAAAATAAACTGCTATAAGCAAACCGCATAAAAAAAAACAAAGCAACAACACATGTTATCAGCTTCTGTTCAACATATACACTACGAAAATCAGCAAAACACGCAGTGGAGTGTCCTCGGGTCCCACAGATCGCGCTTCGTGGACGATTGCTTGGAGCAGATCCCTGGACACATCGGAACCGGCCCACCCCCCTTTGAAACATGTGACGCGCCTGGAGAACCGGGCCGGGCGGGGGGGGGGCCGACACCGGCCACTCTTAACGGGGGAGGCCCCCCCCCTTCCAAGGGAAGGGCGGTGGTCCAAGCCGCAAGGGGGGGGGGCGCTCCGTCCAAAGGGGGAGGTTTCGAACCGGAGGGGAGAGCCTGCCCCCCCCCTCCCTCCAGAACAGAATCCAATTAGTGCTCGGTCAAGCTCTGATAGGATCCCACTATAGCTGGATCCAACTTTAGTAGCACCCTAATCGGGCACAATCCAACTCTCACAGAATTCTACTACAGCTGGATCCAGCTCTAACTGAACCCTACGAAGACTCGAACCACTTAAAATGTAATCCTACTATTGCTAGACCCAGCTCCAATTGAATCCTACTAGGGCTCGACCCAGCTCTCGCTAATCAATTCTTATTTGGGCTCGATCCAGCCTTAATAGCATCCTACTAAGGCTCGACCGTCGTCGTCCTCGTTGCCAGCCGTCGTCGGTTGCCACTGGAGAGGAAGGGGGGGGCCACTGTTTAGACCACGCCCTTGCAATTCATGGGGGGGAGCCCAGTTCGACCCCCCCCCAACATTTCAGAGGGGGAGGGCCAGCTTGCTTCCCAACATCCATAAAACGCGCTCTTTCTCAGGTGTCCCTTCGGGCTGTCTGTATTGAACACCCTGAATACCCTTGAAGGGGCCCAGAGGCCCAAGGGCAAGATGTCCTGAAGCTCCCTGCGTGGCTCCAGGGGCGTGCCGCGTGGCTCCTGGAGTGTGCCACCTGACTTCTGCCGGAGGCCCACGAGCTCCAAGACGGCCCCACAGGGTCCCAATGAGCTCCGAGTGGGCGTCAGAGGGCCCCAAGACGGTCTAAGGCGCTCTCAAGACGGCCTAACTTGGCCTCCGACACGCCCCCAATATTCCCCTCGGAGGATCCAGAAGAGGGACACCGAGCATGCCAAAAGCCATTGATCGTCATTGCGATTGGGGCAGTTTGGGGGATGACCACGCCCTCGAGCTTCAGCCCCCAAGGAAGGCCCAAGAGGCTCCGAAGATCACCCCGAGACGGCCCCAGTCCCCAAAGAGCGCCGCACGTCCGCCCGAGAGGGCCTCCAGATGGCCCAAGAGGGCGCCAAGACGGCCCAACCAACCTCCCCATGGGCCTCGGGAGGGGGGCCGAGAGCGAGAAAGCGAAGGGGGCTCGGGAGCCGTTCCTCCAAAGAGATGCCCCAAGGCTCCCAACATGCCTCCAGAAGCCCTGCAGGAACGCCCAAGAAGCCCCCAAAAGGCTCCCAAGACGCCTCCAAGAGACATCCAGCCCCGAGAGGCATCCAAAATATTTGAACTGGCGTGCAAGAGGCCTCAGGCCCACGACCTAAGCGCGGTGGCGGGATGGGCCGAGTGCCACAAAATCGACGGCTACCACACACACACACACACATACACAAACACAGTTATGCTCGGCAGGCGCGTGCGCGGCGTCGCGCTAGAGTCCCAGTCCAGCAGATGCCGGACTGGGACACACAAACACACACTTTGTTTTTGCGTCGGCGGCTAGGCAGAGTGACTGCGCTGGCGGAAAAAAACAACCACACACACACACACGCACGCACGCACGCACGCACACACGCACGCTCCCTCCTACGTGCAGCTGAGTCCAGACCGCTGAACGAAGCATCGGATTGCAATTGTATCGAATCGGCATCCTCGTAAAGGTGTGCAGCAGTCAAGACACGAAACGCACATAGGACGTGAGTCGGCTCAACAACCAGACGATGCAGGAGGAGGGATGCGAGGAGGAGCAGGTGCAACGCCGCGAGAACGGGCGCGATTCAGCCGTGCAGCGAGCAGCTGGAACAAACGCACACACACACACACAGCGAGTAGCTGGGACACGGCCTCGCGCGCAGCGTCGAAGCGTAGAAGGTCGGATAGCTAAAGCGGGAAACGCGCGCGGCAGGCCCACTTAGAGGCGAGGGACGAGGACCCACCCGAGGGGATCAATCGTGTCATACGCAAACACGCGCACACCGTACACACACACACACACACACACACACACACACACACACACACACACACAAACACAGTTATGCTCGGCAGGCGCGTGCGCGGCGTCGCGCTAGAGTCACAGCTGGGCCGCGAGGGCTCTGGCCGCATGCGGCCAACCATCGGCGACATCCGCGAGGGGGGCCGTGGGGGGGCAAAGGGGGGAAGGAAGAGCGCGCGGCGTGAGACTGAGAGGGTGGGGACGGGGAAGGGGGGCAGAGAGGATCAGGTCGGGCCCGGTGGCGGGGAGGAGGGATGAAGGCCTGGAGGGCACTCGGATGCAAACCCGAGCACACACACACACACACACACACACACACACACACGCGCGCACACGCACACACACACACACAAACAAACAAACACACACACACACACACTCGCGGGCGCGCGCGCGCCTTGCCCGCCTGCAGGGGCGAGGACGGGCCGGGCCAGTGCGGTCGCGAGGGCGGCGGCCGCTCGTCCTGAGCGCCCACGGCCAATCTCTCGCGGGGCAGCTTTTGGGGGCCGCTTGGTGGGGGCCGCGCGGGGGCGGGGGGGGGAGGGCGGGAGGGGAAGGAAGCGGGAGGGGGGAAGGGCGGAGGGGGAAGCGGGGGTCTGACAGCGAGGGTGGGGAAGAGGGAGAGCGATGAGGGAGCGGGACGGAGAGCGAGGGAGGGGGGAGCGAGGGGGGGAGCGAGGGGGGGGGGCGGGATGAGGGAGAGCGGGGCGGGAGCGAGTGGCTGAGTGGAGGGGGGAAGAGGGGAGAACGGGGAAGAGCGAGGAAGAAGGATGGTGAGGGCAGGAGTGAAGGGAAGTGATTGAGAGTGGGGCGTGAGTTTACACGCGTGTGCTTCATCATGTCACATAATCTTGGCGTGCACAGATCATGAATGCAGGCGGTATTGGAAGACTTGGCCATCGTTGTCTCGCGTGCGGGCTCGCCTGTCCGAAACACAACAGAAACAATCAATCGCTGGATTGCCGGCATACGAAACCAACCTATGCGCTTCAGAGCATAGTTTCGACATGAACGAATGACCGGGCACGAAGTGAATAACCCGCAGCCACGGACGAAAACCCACCGAATGGCTGAGGCCAATCATGTGTTCGATCGCCAGGACCGTTCATACACGTACGCTTCAAAGCAGCATCTGTCCACCAATGCCTTCACTGCGCATGCTGTGGTGAGACGGCACACACGTAAGCTAACCGACGTGGTGCACTGCCTCGTGCGCATGCAATGTTTGTCACACCCATCTTTGATAGTGTGCGTTCCAAGAGGTGTCTCGCTGTCGTCCTGCATTACTTCCCACCTATGCCAGGCAATGTCACAGCAGACCCTGACATGGGGGGGGCGAGGAGGCCGCCTGATGCGGTGCAGGAAAGGGCCAGAGACCTGACCACGCGGACGCCCCCTGCTGTCGGCTGGCTGGGCCGCTGACCGGGGAGGCGTGCGAAGCCGGCCTGAGCCACAAATCCTCTCTCCAATCATCCTCATTCCAGCGAGGCTGCGCCAGGGTGACCGAGGCGCCTCCGAAGGAGCGACGCCCGTTTCCCGTGCACTGCCCCACACCTGTTCCCCACGTCCAGAACACGATTCCCTCCACGGACGGGGCACGCTCCAAGCCGCTGCGGAACGGAACGGAACGGGTGGCAGAGGGGGGATGAGCGAGAGCGAGGGGCAGGGCGAGAGGGGAGGAAGAGAACGGTCAAACAGCAGGCGAAGGGGTAGAGTGCGGGGGAGGGGGAAGAAAGAGTGGGAGGGCGGAGGGTGACAGGGGAGGAAGGGGGAGCGGGATGGTTTTTCGCGAACGACAAGTCTTAGCGGCAGCCGTAGGATGGCACCTGTGGCCGCCATCGTGTGATTATCTTGGCTTTTCAAAGCTGCAGGTCGCCTAGCGATGGACGACATTCGCGAAAATCCGAACCAAGCTCCACTAGCCCTCAGGGCTAACAGATGGGACCCTGCTGAGCCCTCGTTTGCTCTCAATGACCCGGACTATGATAGCAGAACACAGTGTTAAGATCGCGCCACTGCGTGCCGCTCACAATTCCGAGCGTAGGTGTTCATGGGTCCATCCCCCCTCCTACCCCTCCTCCCCGATTCCCCTCCTCTATCCCCCTCCTACCCCCCTCTCATCATTCTCCTCTTCTTCCTCCTTCGCCCCTGCTTGCCCCCCAGCCAATATGTACTCCACTGCACGGTGTGGCGGCTGGCCTGCGCCAGACCCTCAAGCAACCCACCGCACATCGAGGCCGTCACACCTTCTCGCGCTGCGAGGCTGGGGCCCGCCAGCCGCGTACTGAGGCCACCGCGCGTCTGCTGCTGTTCGCGCTGCACTGCTCTCCCTCCGACTGGAGACCGCACCCAAAAACAGGGAGTCCCGAGCAAGGCCATACGGCTCCATGAAGGAGGACCTCGGGCGGGACCCCCTGCACTGCAGGCTGCACCGCCCGCCGCGCCGCAGACGGCCGAGGGCCCGCCAAAGGTGACCCCACGTTGGAAGAAGAGGAAACGCCACAAAGATAAACTTCTGGCGCTCCGCGCGGATTTCTTGGATCTGCGCTGGACCCCCCCCCCCTGGCGCGCGGAGCGCGCCGGGGGCGGCGCCGGAGGCGCCGCCGGGGGGGGTCCGGCGCGGATCCGAGAAGTCCGTGCGGAGCGCCAGACGTTTGTTTATGGCGTCTTGGCTTCTCCTCCGATTTCTTCTCCTCTTCGGCTACCAG